TTTACCACAAAATGTCTCCCAATACTGCTAACCACAATAGAAACTGGACAAGTTACAGATTCATACTGTGCTCTAGTCCTTGTTTAGCCTACTGTTTTTTGTTTTTTTGTTTTTTGAGGCATTCAAAATGGGCCACTGAAAAATCAGATTGTGCGATGCTTCATTAAGTTTGTTCATACAGCAATGGGACTGAAGCGTGCAACAGTCAGCCGGCCCTACAGTACCCACATCATTTGCTCTGATAAATAAATTTTGCCATGCGTTGTGAACACAGATGCCTGTGGTGCATAAACATGTGAAGCGAACACGCACTCGTCCATATACAGTAGTGGCTACCATTTAAAATCAATCAAAATGTGATCACATGACACATGAGACAGAAACCAGTTCTGGGTGTACCGGTAGGTTATCTCCCTAGTACCCTCACCAGGTGTACTGATACAATTCCCACACCTGTGGTTTAAGGAGCTGGGGGGGTGCGTGAGCTGGATTGTGTTCTCACTCGTCTGTATCATTACAGGGTCAAACTGTGTGTACAGTGCATGGAATTGAAAGGTGTTGTAAATCTTGCTTAAGGCAAAGCAAAGTTGCAAATCAATTCTAACGAGAGAGTTGAATGCAGGGCGATGTTTTGTGTAAAGTTGGGACCATAATAAGAATTGCTTGCCCGTATAAACTGAAGTAACCATTTACCAGTAGACATAAACTGAGTCTGCCTTGTCACAAACTGAGATGATGACTCAGACACCCTGTTTTCATTGGTTTAATATAAAGGCAGTAAGATGTATGATTTATGTACATGTTTCATGTCTCCTAATGTGATCTAAAGTAAACACATTATACATGGTGAGCATTGTTTACTTAACACAAATCATGCGTGTGTACGTCTCGCACATGATTGATGTGAATGTAACAGTCATGCGGACAGATGCAGCGGACTTTTTTTTTCCACCCGCAGGCAGGCGACTTGTATCTCATACAATTTTTAGGTCTCTGCTGAATGTGCAAGGACAGAGGGTTTTAATTTCCAATTCATACATGTACATGTAGGTTCAGCAGTGCTTAGCAACGCTTTGTGTAAGGGTGTCATTTTAAAAGTACGTCTACTGGCTTGAATTTGGATGGCGAATTAACTTGTCTTTATGACTGAGAATTAATCGTGGAGTCGTGCTACATGTACTTACAGGTGAATGTTAACAAAATTCAACTCTCTGTTATTGCTTACATGTACTTTGTTTGTTTTAGTTATGGGTACTGTAGCTTGGAGAAACCAATCTCTTACATCCTGTTGTGATGTGAAATTCTGACCTGCGTACAGTACATGTTTGGGTGCCTTGAGTGTAATATAAGCTGAGGAATCTACGTGGGACTAACACAGGGCGGAAATTCAGCCGTTCAAGGGCCTAGTAGACCTCTCTTTGAACATGCACTGGTAAGCTCAGTAAGCTCTATAAATGCACATCAAGCAATGTATTCAGTTCACGAAGAGAGACATGAATGTACCCATGTACGCACTACAGAACCATGCGTATGTAACATGATATCAGTCAGGCAAGTGATTCACCCAACAGGCATAAATTATTCTCTTGAATGTACATGTATGAGAGATGGCACATGTCATAAACAATCATCAATTATACTGTGCATGCTGTCTCTGTCCCATACATGTACAAGTAGCTCATAGGCTGTGCTTAGCTTTGTGTAAGCTACAATGAGCGTTTCCTTCTGTGAGCCCAGCTGCTCTTTTGAAATTAGTGCTGTAGTATTCCAAGCATTTATGGATGAGGAAGATGGATTACATGTTTTAAAATTTCGGATGAAGTAATGACCACAAATTTGTAGACGTGTGCATTGATAGATTGGGAAACTAAATTGGGTAGACACCAGTTTATAGTGTTCCAAGATTCCAAGCCCATGTACACTGCACTGCATCATTCAGTTTTTTTCAGTCCACCGTTAATTTTGCATTCTAAATTTTAAACATTTTTTTTGCCTTTTTTTGCAGAAACAAGTGTTGATGTGGCAGCATAATCAAGATGTTGAGTTAGAACCGAAGGGTCTGTTTGAAACTGGCAGCTTATATAAAGATGCACGATGCCACAATACGAAGCCTCTCTGATATATTCATCTTAGCATGTTTCTGCTTTGCTGTCGACCCAGCCTTTTGTTCATGAAGGTACATGTACAATTGCATCTTGGACGTTTTTTGATTTGATGATAAATGTGAAAACAAAAAGAGTGACTGTTGAGTTCCATCATGAGTCAAACGCCAATCGGTGGATCACCGAAACATGGGGGAGACTCCTCACGTCATTCCCGCAGCTCCAAGTCCGACGGCCACAGTGTGGGCAGCCGGGGCTCGTCCAGGGAGGGCTCCAAGGGGCGGTCCAGTAGCAATAGCTCCACCCCTCCCCCCAGTATCCACCCCAATCAGCTTGAAGACAAGGAGGAGCTCCGGCTGCGGGAGCTGGAGGAGGCGCGGGCCCGTGCCGCCCAGATGGAGAAGACCATGCGCTGGTGGTCGGACTGTACTGCCAACTGGCGGGAGAAGTGGGGCAAGGTGCGGGCGGAGCGCAACAAGGCACGGGAGGAGGTTCGGCAACTCAGGATGAAGCTGGAGGTGATTGCCAAGGAGTCCACAGCCTTGAAGCGAGAAAAGCAGGAAGTCCAAGCTGAGAACGAGAGACTGAGGAAGGCCCTGGAGCGCGAACAGGCCAGGACTTGTTTGCAGATCGAGAGCCCTGTCGCTGAGGACAACCCTGATTACCTCCCGGAGAAGGACACAAACAGTCCCAGACAAACAGTGACTGACAGAGACTGCCAAGACATAGACTTCATTGGGAGTGTCATGCAGAAAAGCCACTTGAACAACCACGTATGTTCCGCCGACTCACAACCGCCTGACCGTCATGCCCACCATCGCAGTACACCCCATGACAGCCCCACCCACCAACAAGTTAGTGGCTCAGAAAATGGACCCATGTCTTCCAATGGGAAGAAATTAGCCAATGGCGGCCAACCAACGTGCTCCGATGGCTCCTCGGTCCATCGAAGTCCAAGTCGCAAGGCCAGGGAGATGCCGTCCCCCTCCGGGGAAGTTGTCAACCAGAGAATGATCATGCTTGAGCTCAGAATGGAGGAAGCCTCCAAGACTATCCAAGTGGAACGAGAGTAAGTAGAATTCAGATCAGTAGTCACACCCGAAGCAGCAAAAGGGCTGGGTACAAGGAGAGCCAATGTTTGCTGCCAGCAGTGGCATGCCAGGCCTATGACAATCAGATTCTTGCTTGTCGTGTGCAGAATAATTTCGGTTTCAGTGAATGACCTGAGGCTAGACATACAATTTTGTTTTAGCTGTGACTCGAAAGAGCACACATGGCTATGGAAGGTACATGTACAGGCTAGCCGCTTCATGCATTTGATGCATGCGTTATTTTCAGCTGTGGTCAAGCAATTCAGGGGCAGCTTGTGCATGGGACTGTTAAAACCAAAGATCGTCAAAGGCACAACTCTGCCCAAAAGGTGTAATTACCATGGACGCCATTTGAGCAAGCGATACGCTTGTGCGGTTTACGGTAATGCTTCGGTGCAGGCTCACCAGGTGCACATGCCTGCCACGGCGCCTGCGCGTAAGCAGTAATGTGTATTGCGTAGGCGTATTGCTTGCTCAAATGGCGCCTATGCGATTACAACGTTTTATGTGTATTCGCGGTGAAGTTCTCCATCTTGCGCCGCTATGCGGCACTATACGATCTTTGGTTAAAACCTTGACTCTGTGGTAGATGGATAAAAGAGGAGACTGTGTTTACAGTGCGCCGTCTAACCAGTGACATGAACACACTGGTTTGCTACTGTGTGGCAAGATTGTGTTGGACTAATTGTTGGTGCATAAAACCTATTGGGTGTGCATGATGGTGACTGTCGTGGAAACACATTGGCCATGGCACTCAAGTGTTTCCCCAACCTTTTTCCTTTTTTCACCATTGTAGAGGTGCTTTGGAAAGAGGCCATTGGATTTAATCATTCCCACAATGTAATGAAACATATTTTCAGGCAGCTGAAAGTCTTCTCACAGGGGCGCAATTCAGTGGGCCGTAAAATAAGACTGTAGGTAACCCTCCGTGTTGTGTTGCTGGTAAAAAAAACGATGTTTGTATCATTTACCAATTTGCTCGTCTGCCCACAGTGAGAAAGAGTTGCTAAGTCAACAGATTGACCGATTGCAGAAGGAACTGAGTGTGCTTAGAAGTCAGCATGATGAAATGCGTGATGCAAAGCAGCAAGTGGTCAAAGAGGTAAGTAGGGTCACTGTGATGGCCTTTTGGAAAAAGGCCATGTCCATGCTTTTTTGGCTGTGGTTGGAAATAATATATACTTGTATGTATGAAAGCTGTGCAATAGTGGTTTTATACATTCGAAATTGGCCATATTAAAGAGTTCGCTTTGTAGATGAGTGTTCATTGTCATGGTAAAATGAGACTCATTGCTCATTTTACTTTGGTAGTCTTTATTCAAGGCACTAGTCATTCAACTTGGTTTTGTCCTATCAGTGCAGTACACCACATGTTGAACAGGACTGGCCTGTCTCGTGACATTTCTCTGGACAGTTCAGATTGCCCAAAATAAAAAAAAACAAACCTCTCCCACTAAAAATCAAACAGGTGCCTTTATTTTTTCCAAATGGCATTCCTCTGGACATATCTTTTACCGGGAGCTTTTTAGTTGTTTGCCATTTGCAGAAAACCTTTTTCTTGGGTAACTCTTCACATTTTTCCATTTTTAGTTAAATCTCATGAGGGCAGAGCACCAGCAGGAGTTGATCCGAGTGACCTCTGACCTGGACGACGAGTTAAACTCCCGATCCACCATGGACATCCGCATCTCAGACATGCGAAAAGAGGTCAGTGTGTACAAGATTAGAAACCTGGCCTCCTGCGTGGTGTTGAGGACAGATGGTGATCTTGGGAAATTGAAACCCTATCAATTGCTGTGTGCAAATTTGATTCTTCCTCTCCTGGTGACCAATTTATCCAACTCTCAAATTCAGCTACAGTGTTGTAGTCAAGTGCTTTTTGAGTACCAAGGTTCTCTGCCAAATATTTAACTGGTTGGGAGGGAGCAAAGCTGAAGTACAGGGGCATTTGATGCAACATGCACAAAGTTAGGATTACAAAGTAAAATGAAGACTTCAGACTGTGAAAAGCAATTGGCCGAGTACTTGCCGAGTATATTTCTCGTTAAAAATTAAATTTTTACAAAACTGGGAGTGTCTCAAGCCTTACATTAAGTTTGATCTTACCTTTGTGCATTGACCATAAAATGCCAATGTAATCCAGCTTTATTCCTCTTACCCAGTTCAGTATTGGGCAGAGAATCTTGATACTTGAAAAATACTTGACTGCAACACTGTTCAGCAGTGGGTGCCTATTTCAGGATTGTAACTGGCAAATCACAGTTAACATGGTTAAAGTTTCAGCTACAAATTAATTTTTGCCGTCAATCTTTTGCCAGTTATTCCGAATTTGAACCAGTTTTGTAAATATTAGCCATTTGGTGATGGGGGGACTGACAGTTGGAACCCTATTTTTCCCAGGCACTTAAATGTTTGAATTGAGTCAACTTTACATTGGATGTCATTCACAAGACCACTACTACATTTGCAGCTGTCTTACTTGAGGTAGAAGATGTTCAGGAATTTCACCCTAACCTCAGTGAAACATTTCTTAGAGCACTGTCTATGTTAGGATTTCTTTGGATATGTTGCCATCCGCAGCTGGAGCGTCTGCAGGCCGAGAATGCCATGGAGTGGGGCAAGAGGGAACGCCTTGAGACAGAGAAGCTCTCCCTGGAGAGAGATAACAAGAAGTTGAAGGCCGAGATTGCTGACTTGAAGGAAGATCTAGCCAAGAAGAACAAGCAGGTAGCAGCTGATCTGCAGATGAGCCTCAAGACCCTGGAGGAAAACATACTGGAGAAGAACAAAGTATGTGTGACAGAATTGCTGTTAAGTCCATCACAGGTCCTTACATGCCCCTGCCAGTCAATTAAAAGTCCTCATAAGTCCCTGCAAGGCCATCATAAGTCAGTCACATGCCATCTAGAGTCAAGTCTGAAGTTATTCCAATGAATTGTGACAAAAGCATTCCTCTGTCATGACTCTACTGTTACTTATGATTGGACTTGTGAAAGGACTTCTGATGGACTTCAGTAGAGGCCTAGTGTGAAACAAATACTAGTGCAAACGAGCCGAGGTTTTGTAAGCCTCACATGATGTAATAATAAATAAGTGTATCCTTAATTGTAGAAAAGTTGTGGGGACTTGAACCTCTGCTGCTTTAGGCTGGGATCAACCGATGTTGGTTTTAACTGCTGATCTGATGTCAAGATGTTTTAAACGGAACATTGGCCAACGTCTGATCCTATCTGATGTTTTTACCGACAGTAACTGAAAACACAACCTTAACCATATGCTGCTGGGGAGCTCGGTTTCGGATACATGTTCTTAATACGCACAGTCGGGGAGCCTGAAATCCGACAAAAGAGCTGGGCCTTGTAACAAAAGGCCATTCGCAGAACAAAAGACCGAGCTGCTGGGAATTGCCAACATTTTTTCAGTTGTCAATGGCGGAGGAAACCCGTCATCGTTTTGAAAGATTATACCACTGGTTGTGGCATTCAGCAGGAGCAGATTACCACCGGGGACAAAAGTGCTCCAGCGTTCCAGTGATGAGCGATGCAATACCACTGTACGCTAATCTGGCCCCTATTGAAAAGACGTCAGCAGCGCCCTGTGCTGGTTTCAGGAACAAAAGAAAATTACATCATAGCACACAATCTGGGCTCTTTTCACCAGGTGGCATGCCTGGCTGAAATACTCGGGTGTCAATAGATGTTGTCTGTCAGATTTAGAGTAGCCACCAGAGAGTCATTTATGTGGGTGTAAATGTCTAGTAAATGAAGTTATAAATTTTTAAAGAATTTGGAAAACAGAAAAAAAAAGAAAAATCCCCCAACCGACAGAATGATCATGAATAAATGGGCCTAGCAGGAAGTGGTTAACAGGATGTAGACCTGCTCATAATAACGCAAAACCAGTGTACTGCCTTACAGTTTAAAATGTCAGTTTACACATTACCAGTAACAGGATTAGTTGTTTGCCTTTACCATTACAGAGTTGAGAGAATTGTGTACAGCACATCACCATGATACCGATAATGCTCTGTTGTATTCAAACCCAACGCACACGGTGCATACATGCAGAATAGACAAACAACACCTCAGGCTGAATCACGGCTAGCCTTTAGTCAAGGCGCGCATGGCACCGGTGCACCATGCTCAGCTCGTAGCCTCGCCACTCACGTTGGTGTCTTCATCGTGCCAACGGCAGAGATGCGTGTCATGTGTCCAGGTAGCCACGCATGCCTTGAGTAAAGGCTAAATTGCGGGCTACCTTCAGACTGGTCACACAGCACCTCGTGGTGCCACACACGGTGTAGTTCCCTGGCTTTTTTCATTGCGGTCAGTGGAAATGGTAAACATGTACACTGACTGCTCCGTGGGTCTGCGGTCTGTGCGTTGAGTTGTGGCACGGATCACAAAAATGTAATGTTCGGGGATACTTTACATGGGTTTAACCATTTTTTAACGGTGGAATGAAAAAAAAATACTGTTTTTATTCATGCGCAAATAAAAATATGAGATTTGTGTTTGCCAAAACTGAGTGCTGAGTTTGTTCCTTTCTACAATTTAACATCAGCACTCATATCAGCAAGGAAGGTGAAATTATGCCAATCCAATGTTTTGCCGATGTTGCCGAACATCGGCCCAACCCGATGTCCAATCCAGTCATCGGTTGATCCCCACCTTAGACACAGACTCAATGCGTCTTCGGAACGAGTTGCTTAGGCTTTAACGGCCACCAACATCACATACCTTAGGAGGTAAACTCAAGGTTTGAGGTCTCAAATGGAAGCTTCATGCAGTTTGACATTTCTTTTTCCTTTTGCAAACAGGAATTGGGAGAGCTCAAACACAGCCAAGGGAAGCTGAAGAAACTGCTGCAGGAGAAGACGGCCGAGCTGGACCACACGCTGCGGAGGGCGGAGCAACACGAGGGGGAGGTGAAGAAGCTCAGGGGGCGGGTGGATGAACTCAAAAGGGAGCTGGCCAAGGCAGAGGATGAGGTGAGATGGGCATATTGTCAGGAACAAATCAAAGATCTTGACCTACATGCCATAGAATTTAAAATAGGAAAAGCGAGGATGGCCTGTTCGGTGCGTGTGTCGATTTTTTTTTCAGATGTTTCAAATTTTAGGAAGACAGTTATTTCACCAAAATTACTGTTTGTATTCGATACCATTTAAATCTTTCATCATGGAGTAAAAGTTTCAAAAATGTATGTGAATATGTGAGCTTATCAAAACTTTGGGCCAAATAAATTCATCATTGTCTTGACACTAGATAATTTTTAGTAGAAATTGTGAAACTAGGGATGCTGTATAGGAAGTGAGTAAAAACAGTTTGGCAGCTTCGGCATACTTTTTGCACAAAACAGTATGAGATTTTTCCAACTGGTTCCAGGTTGACCACCAGAGCAACTTGGTCAGGAAACTCCAGAGAAACCTTGAGGAGAATCAGCAGTCCAATGAGAATATGGCTGTCCAGGTGGAGCACTTGCAAGCCAGGTAAGTCGACCGTCAGGCCTTGCCTGTTGCCGTGGTAGCAGTTTGCCCTGTTTTTCAACCTGAGGGCTACTCGGGTCCGATTCAGTAGGACAAGGGCAGACTATATCTTGTGGCTGCTGTGTAAGGCTGCCTTCAGCACTTCTGGACATCTTTTTGTGTGACTTTGTATCCCCTTACTCATTTTGGCCGGGGCAGTGTGGTCAGCATCAGCTGTCCGATAGCGCCTTAGTTGGTTTCATCAGCTGGAGGGAAATTCACATTTTAACTACAGGGTGATGCTTGAGGTTCATACTCCTGTTTGGAATATACTTTGCTCCCTGCAGGTATGGAAAACCTGATAAGGGGTTGGTTTCTATGGACTTTCTAATAGACTGGAGAGGGTATGGGTCAGGGTTTCTCCTGGGGTACTGATGTGTGTGAAGTGGTCAAACAAATTTTGTTCAAATTCTATTGCAAATTCTACAAAAGCAAGTGTTTTCACGAAGGCCTGAAACAAATTCTACATAGTCTAATAAGAGTACATTTTCTCCAATTTCCACTCTGAAATACGTTGATCTTGTATTCTGTGTCCCTCTTTACCATTGTGAATAATTTGAAACTGATCTATTTCCCAATATCTAAGTTATTTCGCTTTTCCTTCTATTTTTGTCTATTTTAAATGTAAGGTGGTAAAAGTCAACAGAAAAGCTTGAGGTGGTCACAAAAAGCAGTGAGGTGGGCCGCCTCATAGTTGAATATCCTAAGATCTCGCTTGTCCTGCAACCAGTGCATACAAAAACTGCTATTTCTTCATCTGTTAGGATTTAATTCAATCCGATGGAGGGATTTGCTGGTGTCATTTATAGTTCACTCCCTCATTACACGTGTCGACCACATCAGTAGGACAAAATAAACATTTTGGCCTCCGTTTCTTTGACAAATGGACATTTAACGAAAAAAAGAGTCCAATTTTTGTAGGATTGGTGTCAGACTGATTGCATATAAGCATTGTGTATGCAACAAATGGGGCACTGCAATGATATCTGAAAGAATGGCTGTTGTGCCTTCGGAATCAGCCTCAACTCCATGGGCTACTTGGATGTTCCTTCACAAGCCCCTGGTCGTGTAGAATACCAAAATGATGCTGACTGGGATATTCCAGCACATCACGCATGCATAAATAAATGCATAAAAACATCGACTACAATCCTAATTTAAGTCTCCCAAGTAGTGGGAAATTTTATTATGTAATACCAGGGTTAAGATCACGCAAGGTATGTTTGGAACCAACAGGTGTGGTAAGATTGTACCCATGGGAACAAGGTCACTTCAGAGTGGTTTAAGGCAAGCTCTGATGAATCTTCAGTTCAAAATATTTTCTGTTTTGACTTTTAATGTAGGCTGAGGAGTATGCCAACCACAACCTCCACCTTGGCCAAGAAGCGTGCCGCAAGCTTCAGCTTTAGCTCGGGTAACCTGACCCTGCAGGATACCAGGGACGAGGTCACATCGGATATTGACATATAGTAACATTCCACGCCACAGTATTTCAGATCAGGATGCCAGTGATCAGGGACCCTTTTTTATTGTGAAGTCAAGTTGTGTAAATTTATGTGAAACATCAATATCTGCACTGTGGGGAAAACATCATGACAAAGTATAATTTTGTTGTATCAAATAAAACAAATTTCCAGTGCCACAGTGAGACAAATTAAGCTGTAAAGCAAAAAAAAAAAGAAAATCTAGTAATTTTGTAAGATTGTGTAATTGTGGCCGTGAATATCAAGTTCTTCTCTTGGCATTTGTTATTTACCAACATGATGCTTTGCTGAGCACAGTATATTATTAGGAAGTAATCTGACTGTGAGATTTGTTTTCAAATGCTCTACAAAACCAGGCAATGGGTTGGGCTTGATAAGACATATTTTTCCAAGTTAAGATCTACCTCATTGACAAGAGATTGAGCCAGTGAAAGGACAATTATTCAAGGGCTTTGTTAAAGTTGCACATTTGGAGGAAAAACAGACTCTTTTCAGTGTCTCTGGTTTGTCGTAACCTCTCTAGATCTTTGAAAATGTGCCAGAAAGTTTCAGAAGACTTCAGAGGCTATTCAGGGAGTAAGTGCCAACCGGTGTTAGTTCTACATAGAGCTTGATGCTGCCTGAAGTTTCAGTACAAGGAATGAACCATTAGGTGCCACTGTTTAGGGATTAAGTTGGTTAAAGAAGGTAACTGGAAAAGAAATGGAAAAAAAATCATGTCACCAGAATTCTGAACAGTAAATAAACACATCCTCAAAGAACCTTTGCCTTGTCTGGTCACCCTGTTCACCAAAAGTGTCATTGTTATAAAGTAGCTTACTGCTGTGTTATGTGTATTGCATGTTTATTTATGAATTCTACCTTGTGTTAGGTTTCAGCAAGTTTGTGTACTAGTGGTATTCTCGATATTTTAGCCGAACTGTAGACTCTAGCCAGTGCTTGTCGTTCATACTGTTATGCATGTACTTTTTATCTTATCTTAGCCATAAAATTTTGTGACATTGCTGTATGCAGGCAAGTTGGCAGCTTTACTTTAATTTCATGTGTCATTTAAAAAATAATTCCAAGTTGCCATATTTTTCATTATCATTTACTTGGGAGGGATTGATACTCAATGATTTGCTTCCTTCTGAATTTTAAAGTCTGTACAATGTGCCTATTACACTGCTATCAAGGTGTTTCATGTATGTGCTTTGAATTGATGTTATTGGTGATGCTATGGACTCATGCCCTCTGTCCAAACACAAGGAGGACGTTGCATGTTTATTTAACCTACGAAAGCCAGCATGCATGAGGCAAAGTTATGCCAACTGATCCACAGTGCTCTTTAATTAGAGAGGGAAGCTTGTAGACAGTTTGTGGGTTTCTCCACAATCTGAAAAAAAACCCCCAGCTTTAGTGTCTCTTGTCCAATGGTAACTGTCTTTGTGCCCTTGGATGTAGGGGTTCTAGTTGCAGAGATCCACGCTCCATCCCATAAGTAGGCATTAACAAGTAGGTATTTATGTGTTCTCAAACACGAGTTGGCATCATCGTTGTACATAGCAAATATATGTGTGTTCGGAAGCCTTGATGGCATTGCCCAAGCTGCAGTGCACTAATGTGACATGAGGTCATGTTTCTTGTCAAACACTACCCATAGATTGGGGACATGGGTGGGTCACAGGGGCACCCCTTTGCCACATCCATGTTGTCTCGTTTGCCAACATGTCAACTTTGAAGTGAAACCTTGATTAGAATCACCTTGTGTCATTGTGTGCACGCTGTAGTGCATTAATCTTGATTTTTCAGACCACTTCAAGTCCACGAGTTGAACTCATCAGAATGTTGCCCCAGAATTTATTACATCCACAGCACCTCACAAAGTAATCCATTTGCAGATTAATTTTGTGACAAGATTTTCACCAAGCCATAAATTCACAAGGAAAATGTATTTGATGTTTAAAAAGAGAAAAAGGATTTTTGTGAAATGACCTCTGCAGACCCTATGTAATTATCTAACAGGTTAAAAGTACTTTTGTGAATTTTCTTGCTTAAGTACATACAGTATACAACCTGTGTAATTCAGTGTCGTACGGAAGTATTTATTTATATTTATTTTTATATATTTATAACCATGCAGACAAGAACACAAATACTGTGTAGTTCTTTGCTGATGTAGACATTGCTTGTAGGAATATTGGCAGTGCATGGGCTTTGCTATACTTTGTATTCATCCATTTTTTTTGGTATGGCTTTTGATATTGTGTAGAGGATCTGTACACGTACTGTTTATGTACATGCAATTGATGGTAAATCAAGAATCAATTCATGATTTAATTGGTTTGGTTCACAATAAGAATGATCCCCTCCTTCCCCACCGAGACAATTCAAGGATTAAAGTAAATGATATATACATAGTTTATTCATGTTGTCAAATTTGACAAAACTCAATTATTAGGGTTTTAATATGCTTCAATTTTTTTGGGGGGGGGGAATTTTTAAATGATGATTTTATGTCTGCATTTAACATGACCAGTACAGTAACATTACTTTAATATCAAGGATAATTAATTTCCAGTATTCGCAGACTGTTCAAGGATTAAAGAAATTCTGAATAAAACCTAATCATGTATATGTGTACACTACACTGGATTTGGAGTATTCATTGTAATTTTAATTATTAAAGATGATCGGCATGCTGCCAGTGTGTGATGGTGGCTACGGAATGTATACTGACAGGATTGCCAAGTTATGCCGGTAAATTATTAGTGGCTTGTGATATTCTTCTGCAACAGTGGCACTGATTTACATCAGTCACATTTTGTTGGGCTCTAATTGGGTCATTATGCAAACTTTTGAGTCCTTATTTAAATGGCATGCTCTTTCAATGAGTTCATTTATTCAATAAACTTGTTTTAAAGCTCCAAATTTGTTCTGAACAGCTTCAAACAATACATTCAAACCTCAGTAATAAGAGGCCCTTTGGACGTCACATTTTACCTTGCTCTAACAGGAACCTGGCATTATTAGAAATGAAAACAGTAAAGAACGAAGGATTGAGACCTAAAACTGTCCCCGTTTTGAGTAGAATGTTGTATTAACAGTGCACCTATTAACAAGGTTGAACTCAATGATTGGTGCCCTGATAACTCTGGCAAAAATGGGGGGGGAGGGAAGACTGCACCCCTTCTGAGGTCACTGAGGCGTCACTGTTGAATGTAAAGAGATTCTCACACGTTAGGTTTACCAGATTTCAGATGCTTCTGCCATTTATGCCACGTGTAATTAAATTTCTACCGTTGCTTTTTCCTACACAGCAGTCAACTTAGGGAAAATCTCTGTACATCAACATACATACAAAATACACGTATTGTGCAAGGAAAAAACTGGATTACAGAATGGCGTATTGCAATACTGAAAGCACACATACATATGATGCGTGAATCTGCCATCAACTCTAACTCCCAGATGCTTCAAAATGCACGAGGTGGCTTGGGAGGAATTTTGCAGGGATTTGTTCAGGATCATGGAGGATAGGGAAGTACTGCCCAGACACTTTTACACTAGTGCTTGATATTCCCTTAAAAGCTACATGTAAGGAATGTGCCACTGGTTCCTGCACAGTGGAGAGTTTTTGTTGGGGGGGGGGGAATTAGGGAGTATTCGTAGCAGAAGATGCCCCAGATGCTAGACATGGAGCTTAACCACTTGCTGCCAGGGAACCCTGTTTCGAGCACCATGGGTTTATATGCAGAGCCGGGGTGCCCGAAATCGGACAAAAGAGCTGGCTCGTGTAACAAAAGACAGTACTTGGAATAAAAGACAGTACTTGGAATAAAAGACCTGCTGCTGGGAATTGCCATCATTTTTTGTCTTGCATTTTTCGAAGGGAATCCGTCACTGTTTTTAAACAATATACCACTGTTTTGGGCATAGCGTGCCCGCGGATTAGCACCATGGACAACAGTGATCCAGGGCAAAGGACAAAGGAAATTACACAACACCTCACAATTCTGGGCTCTCTTTACAGGGCGGCAGGCCTGGCTAAAAAATTCAGGAGTCAATGAAGGTTGCCTGTCAACTTAGGGTAGCCATCAAACAGTCATTCATGTGGGTGTAAACATCCATTAAATGAAATGAATTTTTGAAGAATTTTGAAAACCGAAGATCTAGAAAATCTCCCATATGTGTGCACTGCACTTTTAAAAGCACCCGGCAGCAAGTGGTCAACTTGAAAAGTCATCACTAAATTTCAGGTTGATAGTTGTCTGCCTCATCAGTCTGCAACCAGCAGGCAATCACAGCATTACCCTTCAGGATGAATGGCTTATTGGATAGCGCAAGCACTGAAGGATATCTCCAGTCACTCTTTCCCATGCCAACCACTGAATCTGCTGAATACAGACCTATGCAGGGATGTTGTTACTGAATATATTTTATCCAACCATGAACACAACCTCAGCTTCACGAACCGACTCCAGTCTACATGTACCGTTTACTCGAACTTAAGATGGGAAAGCCAGGCTGCAATAGGTCTTTGCACCTGGAAATAATGGAGAATTTGCCAAATCTATCGTGAGTACCAGGGCCGGGATTTTCCAAGCTCACTCTACCTTGAGAAAGACTGTAAAACCGAGCCAACAGAGTCCAAGAGAGTGGTAGGGTTCTGTAGTATTCTGTCGTCATCTGAATATTCAGATTAATTACATCACTAATCTTTTACTGATGTAGAAAGTTCAAATTCACAGGAGAGTGTACTTTTGTATTGAAAGATTTTCTGATACACGTTCATGCATTTTAAAATTAAGTGTAACTGGTCTAGAGTAAAGATTTTCTAACTTTGGTATGTATCTCCAGCCTCCTCCGAAAACATGTAAATTTAAGTATAAAAAGAGTCATCGGCCAGACAGCAGAATGATACTTGAACAGCAGAGTTAAAATCCTGTGACAGTGTGAGTACGCAATGCATTTTCATGTGTACATCACACGATCCACTGCGACAAAGAAATTGTCCCTGTTTTGCAGTTCGTGGCAGCCGATGGGTCCGACCTCGCAGTCAGCACATATCAGGTACTTGATGTTTTGCACGGTGTTTGTGAAGCCGACGTTTTCAAATGTATACATGCCCTCTACCAGCCAGAAGTCCTGCAGTGTTTCCCCGTCATTTGGCTCTTGATTGGCCGACTTGACTTTCATGTGTGGCAGGAAAAACTGGGGAGAAGAGAATAAACTAGAGTCAGCTGTGACACATAACTATTCGATTCATAAATGAATGAATTTGTCGGGGGAGGGGGTAGCATGGCTAGGCCCTAGTATTCACAATGCAATAAGCCAATATGACATGTTTGATGTTTTTATTTTTCTGGGGAAGGACTCATATTTTAGGGCACTATATCCTTTGTAAATCTTGGAAGCGTTTCTGAAGTCCCACCAGTAACCACATCAAAACTAGTCGAGGGGTTCGCTCCCGGAGCAAAGAAACAGATCCCCAATTCACGAACCTCTTTCTGAGTAGCATTTGCCAACCCAGGACGGAGAACAATACTCTGACACCGTGCACACGCTAAATTCTTAATGTTCATGCCCTTCTCATCCGTCAGTTCCTTCACTTTGGACTCTGCGGCATTAGGTTCCTCCTTTGGTGTCTCATCTGCGTCCTTGGCTGGCTCTTCGACCGGTTTCTCATCCGGGACGTCGACGTTTTCTTGGGTGTTATCTTCTGTGTTTTCTGTCTCCACAGTTTCACCGTTCTCCGCCATTGTGGTTTAAGTGAGGTGCGGTTCCCAGACGCCGAACCTCGCCTCTGTACAAAACACACGTCCTAATGACAAATAGACACGGATCAACGGGAGCCAACTTCGCGGGTGCTCATGAGGGGCGGGGTCAGTTGAAATGATGGGGGTCCCCTTGCGAAATGATACCTTTCAAATGTTCCCACTGGCTATTCCATGCCCCTTAGCGAAATTTAGACGGCCACCCGTAACTCCAATGGGTATTACTGAGTGCCCCCACCCATGGAGGATGTTCCACATCACGACTGTGCGACTAAAATTTCTACCTCAGAGACTGTGACCACACCCCGACAAACCCAAAAAGCCAGGGGAGGGGGGACTGCTGCATGTCGCTTACAATGTACCAGTAATCTCATAATAAACCTGAACTCTTACATCAGAATGAATTCAGTAAACAGCACAAGGATGCACTGAATGAAACTAGGTTGAGGTCGAAAATAATTAATCTGGCACCTAATGAAGAGGGGCCTCATAAGAGCTCTCCCATTTTATCCCAGTTATTTTGAAGGCTTCCCAGGAAATAGCTGCATTTTAATCAGGTAGATGTTACACCAATGCATTTTTACAACTTTTTAAGGGTTAAGGGTTTGAACAATAGCTTGAAAGCCAAAGAGGAGTAAATTCCAGAAATAACAGAGCTAGAATTTGTATGTGTACCATTCAGCAGTATCTATTTCTTGTTAGGGTGCTACCGGAAATATAATTACTTGTATCGAGTCAATGTCAGATTCATATTAAATTAGTACTTTGAAAAGTGAAATTATTAGCAAGTTTAGTGCAACAAAAGTAGCATAAATCAGAATGAATTTCCTCGTCGATAATTAATCTTTATTTCTACTGACTTTGATTTGTGCACCGTTTTTATCGGACTAAGAACACCCCTCCAAGAAAAAATAGGCCCGACTCGGGGGTACATAAACGACAGCACGTGCTTCGACAGTTATTGCGCGAATTCCAACTCGACCCAGCGTAACGTGGGGAGTCTCAGTCCGGTGTCCTTGTGCCGAGCTTGCGTGCCGAGATGGTCTCTCCTACCTCGTGTTTTTAGGGACTTGATTTCCCTCCCTTCAACTCGTATCTTCTCATTTTTCTGTCGTAACTCCGATTCGCATCAAAAGCCGAGGGCAGCCCCATCCTGTTTTGGCTTGTGAAAATTATAGGGTAGGCCTACTCAACTTGCATCTTGGACTCCGAGAAATGTTTCTGACCGGTTTGTGCTGCTTATTGGTGCTGGGTCTGGCGACGCCCGGCGCCCGGGCGGCATTCGGTGATGTTGGGACCCACGGAAGAGATGACCTGTTCGAAAAGATGGGACAGGCAAGGGTTGAAGAGTTCGAAGTTGTTAATGGTAGGTATATAATTGCGTAAGTTGTGTTTACATCCCAGAAACTAGTTAAGCGATCCACACCCTTGTAGCATGTTGGTGTAGCACACATTTCAGACAGCGTTCGGTACATCCTGATATAATGCGCCACGCCCCATACACATAAGACTAAACTGAGGAAAGATTCCATTAGAAAATACACTTTTGTATCCAGCACCACATCCATGGCTGTATACAAACAACTAATATGCAACAGTTTCTCCGTAATTTTCTAACAAAAGGGAAATGTTCTCCAGTCTCGGATTTCTCTCAATTCTCTGAACATTTTTCGCAATGACTGACCATCGTTAAGAAAACATTTGGAAAGTGGCATCGGGATGCAATGGTCTTTCCAAATATTTAACCAAAATTCAGAAGAAACAAGTGGATGTCCAGGACAAGCTTCATTGTCATTCTCCCTGTTTTTATTTTTTTCATAAGGTAGGTGTTTGAAGTCAACTTGCAGTGACATCCTGTTTTCCTGAGATGAAAATTGTCGTAACAATGTCTATATTAACATTGGGAATTTTTTAGATATTTCAAGTTGATTACTGCATTTAATGCATCTTAAATTTGAATTTGAAGTGTTTTTATAAAGGAATCCTGTAAATGGAAGATAACCACGGTTTTCATTAAATAAAAAACCACATATTTTGCACAAAATAAGTCGGTTCGACATTTGTGAAAACTGAAGCTTGCAATGCCAGTGTAATTTGAATTTTAACCTTGATATTGTATGCACACAGGTCAGGTGTCTTTGGACATTGTGTTGGAGGACACGGAGGGCCAAGACGAGGTCTGGATCCTCGACTTCCAAGATTTTGACCACATGCAGAACAAGTCTCAGCGGCCCATCGTGAAGACTGATGGAGGGAAACTGGTTGCAGAGCATACAGGGACCTGCTCAAGTGTCTTTTCTTCAGTGCCGTATCATGTGAGTATCAACAATTCAGTACAAGAGCTGGAGATAGATTAGCCCTCCGATGGTCCTCTCACATTTTTTCATTTTAGTAGGGGCCTACTGTCCTCGGAGGGGTTGCACCATCTTTTTTGTTGCTCTGCTGTTTAAAGCAAAATGTATTGCCGCCATTTATGGCTGCAAAATTTGTGAAGTTCATACATTAACCCTCCATGCAATCTGCTCCAAGTTGTCCCATCACTCAAAATCAGTTAAATGACATATGTCTGTACTGTTAGAGGGAGAAGTAGAAGGAATTTTTGACCGGCTGTGACTGTTACACAGCAAAAGGAGGGCTTAAATTTGTAAAGGGCGAAAATGGTGCTTGTGAAAAAGGGAAATGTACAGAGAACAGGGAAGAGTTCGTGGACACCAGTAATTATTCCTCAGAGTGACCTATTAGCTGTCAGAAAGCAAAACATGGCTAGAAAAGTTCAATTTAGGCGGGAAGAAAGTCCTTTACTTAAACACTTTTATCAGACCAGTCCCATAGGCTTTGGGCAGAGGGTGTCAAAGGGTGTCGAGTGGTGTCCGTATATGGAACTGTTGTTAGACCGGTCTTTTTTTAAAATCAAAATATTGGGTCAGTAAATACCCCCCTGCTCTGGTGTTGGTTATCCATAGTCCTGAAGCTCGTGTGCAATGTGTGCATGTCTGCCAGCACTTTCCTTGCATACACTGCTACTGTCTTCCAGCAAACAACCCTATACGCAGAATTGGGGAAACGGAGGTGGCAACGCCCTTGTTTTTGGGGGGATATCCTGTCCTTCCTCCCCTGTTTCTTGTGATATCATCTGGATATTGGATGACCAAACCCAGTTAACAGAAAAATGTACCTGCGTGCCTTTTCCGGTTTGACTTCCTTTTGGGGCATCACAGAAGCAATATGAACAAGAGGGGGGTTCAGAATTACCAGATGCATTTCTCGACATGTTGATCCAGTTCAATTAAAGCAGCTATAGCCAGTCTTTTTTTCCCACCAGTCTGTCACTGGCTTCTACAAGGATACATATGCTCCTGCTCCCCCTGGGAACAAAACACTCTTCAACACCTACCAGACCAATGGAACATTTGTGCAGAAGGGCGACATACGAGTCAGGGAGGACCATCTTCAGTTTGATGGTGAGGAGTGTTGAGAGAAACCTGAACGTATTTTGCTGCCCAAGAGAGATAGTTACCAGTCAACTTATCCCAAAGCATGGTGTCAATAGTCAAACCCCCCTTTCCTAAATTGAATGATTTTGATTCGCATCGTTATTGTAAATGTTGCTGTAATTTCAGTTTTCTAATTGCGTACATTTGCAAAATGGAAAGTTAATTCTTTCTAAACTGATGGCTAAAGATGAGACCCTGAATATTTTTTGTTAGTACATATGTGCATTCTCTTGGGCCAAACTTCTCGGTAGCAATATACACTTCTCAAAAAAGTTAGGGACCACCTTTTTATTAACTGAGATTTTTCCAAGCAATGAGTGCGGTCTAGTTCTTTCATTTTGTTTTCGCATTGGAAAAAAAGTTAAAAGTTTCAAAACGTCAAATGCTCATTTTTAGCAGTAAAAGTCTCATTAAAAGTATACACAAAATGAAAAGTGGTCCTTAACTTTTTCGAGTAGTGTACTGGAACCACAAGAAATGCATACAATTAATATTTTGAGATCTAACTGGATTCAATTGAGTTGATTCTCGTATTTTTATTTGGTCAAACTTGCTGGTTCGGCATTGAGTATAAACTATGCCAATTTGTGTTCCAAACCCGACTCTGCAAAGGCGTGATTGACACCATGTTTGAGTGCAAGACCAGTGATGGTGCCAATGTCTGGCACAAAGAGGTAACACCTGAGACTATCCAGTTCAACACCACGCTCTTCATGACCAACGTTAGACCACAGGGCTCCAGTTCTAACCCGGACCCAGCCTACGTTCAGAGTTATGCTGTTTTGTACTGGCGTCTGTTGCGTGTGGCTTTGGCGAGGTAAGTCCAGAAAATGGGTGCTAACTTTTCCAAAACTGCAGTATGATTGGGCAGATATTGTTCATTGCTAATAACTAATTTAAGTTGTTATTTAATTTTAACCTTTAGAGACATGTAAAAATCTGTTGATATCTCAACAGGATATGACTTGGGCACAAGGACACAATTGGGGAAAAAATAGACAAGTCAGTGCATTGAGCGAAATATTTGCCGATTGCCAATGTTTGGATTTAAATGCATGATGTTTTTTTAAAGATACAAGTTTTTGAAATTCAGATCAAGCAATGGTTGTCCACTTCCAGTTTGAAAATGCTTCTATTCTGGGGCTTGCAGGTTCTTGATAAGTTCAACAGAACAACTGAAGCCGATCTTCGAGTATGCCCTGGTGAGGCCTGTATATCTAAATGATGACGAGGAGTATGGATTTGACGAGTAAGTTTCCTGCATAGTCATAGCTACATGGGGTCTGCGGTGTGGTGATGGGTAATGATGTCAGTCCTTCTGTTTGGTCCGCAACCTTCTCCGAGATAACAAGAAGATATTGAAATGTAATGTGGTAAAAGGTATCGGAGAGCTTTCAACATCAAAATTTCTGGAACAAGGACAAGTTCACCCAATCGAAGTAGGAATTGTCAAGTTGCTCCATTTTTATCCCCCTTCATTTGCACACACTGTCCATCCCCAGAACAGATAAGAAAATCTTAAAATTTAACCTGAACTTGCCTAGTGCAGCACATAATACACCGTCTTCAGTACCCAGGACCTTGAGAGTTTGGGTTGAACAACCCTGCACAAAGTATCTATTGTGTATCTCAAATTGCGTCATGCAAATTCTTCAAATACATATTTAGGATTTTTAAATTAAAGTTTGCAGAGCCCGAAGCCCTGTCCCATCCTGTCAATCTCAAGTTTTACAAGAATTTTTTCCTTTGACTTGTGTGAAGGGATCGAGCGGAAGTGGAGCTTGCCTTTCGCACCCTGACAGCGCACCCAAACGGCAGCCTCATATCGGTCTACAGGGTGAACAGTTTGGAGTATGACCCTGCTGATCTGCTTGTTGGCAACAAGCTTGGACACATCAAGATGATACCCACCAGGGGTAAGAGTTCTGTCATTTGCCTTCTTTTAATACCCAAAATAAGTCTGCTTTTTGGGCCAGGAGATCAAGTTGGGTACTGATTAATTGAAGTAAAAAAAATCGGACAGATTGAGGTTGGAACTGAAGTGTTTGTTTTCATCGTTTGGCCAGGTTGCCATCTTCCCCTTGGTGTGGAAAATGGCACCATCTCTGATTCCCAGCTTTCGTCCTCATCTGTCTGGTTGAACAGTGCAGAGTACAGTGCCCCCAAGGCTCGGCTGAATGCCCAACCAATCGATGCTGTCTCTGCTGGGGCCTGGTTGGCCGGCACTATTGACGCCAATCAGTGGATACAGGTAGATTGATTAGCAAGAATTTGGAATTGAATTTTAAAACGTGGTTTTCACAGCCGAAAGTCGGCAAGTGTAAACTTCTTACCTTTCTTTGCATGTCTGGTTTTACAATATGGGATGAACTTGTGGCTTTTGTGTGATCATTTTCAGTTACATGATAATGAAACCACAATATGACACTTTTATATCCTGGAAGACTTCATGTAACATCATTATCCATATCTTTAAGATTTTTGTGAAGGCAAAATTCTGTCACTGGAGAAATCAAGTTTTGTTAAAGTAGTATTTAAGTATGGAAAGAATTCCATAAACATCGGCCACTTGACACCCTGTTTATAAACCCTCGAGACTGGTCTGAAAAACTCAGTGTATTGAATGTGAATACCTCACGATTTTTTTCTCTGACAGTTTGGGACACTTTGTTTCCTTATGGCTAATTAGTCACAATCGGGGAAGAATTAGTGGGGTCCTTGCAAAACATTCTTTCCTGAAGTCTTGGATCCAGCAATGTTTCTCATTTCATCAGTGCTGTACTTGATGTTTTTACCGACTTGGGATTGAGCATAAATGAATATGTAAAGGGAAAAGTTTTCTGAATGGTCCCTCAAATAACTGGGTTTGGATTCCTCTCGACTTGACACAGGTGGATCTACTAACGCAGACATGGGTGTCAGGAGTACTCACCCAAGGTTACATTTACCAGGACACTGTTATGTGGGTTACAAAGTACAGCGTCTCTCACAGCGCTGAAGCTGCCGGCAGCTTGTCTCCTGTCTTCAATGAGTCTGGCGTGAATGCTGTACCAGTCGTGAGTACAGATTTATTTTTGTTTGAAGATGGTACAGCTATGTGTATTCCAAATGTGCTTCCCCAAGTTTTCGTGTTTGCCTTGGGAAAACAACTTGGAGACAGGGAAAAATCCTTTGCCCAACCCACCTGTTAAAATTGACTTGACCATGCACTGGTTCAAAGCAAGAAACTTTCCTTTTGTTCTGTCTTGTTGCTTTAAATGTAGATAAAAAAGAAGGGAAAATGAAAGCAGCTTTGAGGTTTGGAGTGAAATTTCAATAATACTATTTTCAGATTGTGTCCCTGGAAATGGCAACTTACACTAGAGCATTTAAAATTCCTAAATTTTCCTGGAGGACTACACGTACCAGGGCTGCTTGCTGTTCCATTTATTAAAAGGTGGTCTCCCTTTTCTGAAATCTAAGCACTGTCCCTGGAGATGGCTCCAGACAGTTGCTTAGTTCAGGGTTTTCATTGATACTTTCTCATTACAGGTGTATAATAAAAAAACCTTGTTTGTGTACAGGTATTTGCTGGGAACTATGACAGTGAGACTATTGTCAAAAACTACTTTGACGATCCCATTTTGACCCAGAGGATCCGCATCTTACCCCAAGAGTGGTCCAATGGCATAGCCATGCGAATTGAGCTGCTTGGATGTGACAGTAGGACATTTTTATCTTGTTCTGCTTGTTTGGAAGTTGGTGTATTTTCTCCATTGCAAAATTCCTGTCGCTTCAAAATAAGTATTTTAGGCCTGTGACTGTTTTCAGATCTATACCCCTGCTTGATCTGATGAAGAAACCCTCGACTTTCGAAAGTCTGGACGAAATTTGAAGTATTTTTCCTAGCTAGTAATCTGCGTGTCTTTTGGAATTTTCAGTGCTGCCCTCATATTGATGCTACAGTTAAATGATGTCAAATTTAAAATTAAACCCTCATGCAGAATGAAGTCGGAAACTAGTTTGGGTCCCGAAACAGAAACACGCTGGGTTAATTTCACAGTAGTGACTGTGTCACTAAGCTTGGTTGTTTGTCATAAATTAACAAACGCTGGTTTGGGGCTCATTGAACAAAGTTAAAAAGCCCCCATGTTGCACCTCCAAACTTTGCAAATCTGCCAATTGCAGTTTCTAGCTGAGTTTACATTAAAATTGCAGTCATTTAACCCTAATAGTCCTCATTCCTCCAACAGATGAAGGATTGAGGATTGTTAGGGATAAGCACTGTGCTTAGATAGGAACGTTTGTCTATCTGTAGAGCCTTGTTTTTCACGCCACAGAGTAACTGAATTTTCATCTCCATCCAGCCCACACTGAGTGTTACACCGACTCCAATGGAGAGGACTACCGGGGAACAGTTTCGGTCACAGAGTCGGGTGAGACCTGCCAACGCTGGTCTGCTCAGGAGCCCCACACCCATTCCTTCACCCCCGAGAACTATGCCCACCGCGGCATCGGCGACCACAACTTCTGCCGAAGTCTGGATAATGCCACCCGGCCCTGGTGCTACACACTCAATCCCAGCATGCCCATTGGCTTCTGTGATGTTGGAGTGGCACAGGTGTCCTGCACACCTAATGGTAAAGTTCTCTCTCCCATTTTTTATTTGATTATGAACCGGACTGCATGAAAATACGAGCATTGAAGCAAAATAGCTGGAAATTCTTTGAACATGAGAATAAGGATGGTTTTATAAAAGTGGTTCTTCATTTGACCATGTCTTTCCAGTTGACTCAAAGTGCTGCAGCAGGGAGTAGATTTGACATTTTTAAATATTCAAAATCTCTTGGAAACTTTTTAAAAACTGTCTCCAGTATGACTCGGACCGGCCTGCTGACCCCGGCAGGCTCAGTGATTGAGTGGTTACGGTGTCTGCTGAGTAAAACAGGTCATGGGTTCCATGTCCCACTTGAGTAAGCTTTTGAATCACTGAGTGCAGTGTTACAAACATTTGTTTGGGTAAAGGTAAAACTTTTAATTAAAAATAAAGAAAAAAACTTCTCAATGCTGTACGTCTTTACAAGTCGGCGTGGGTGAAGTCGAGCAAATTAAAAATGCTGTCATTAACTTGTGGTTCCTTGGAAGTTGAGCCCCTGCCAACTGTTTGACTGTGGAAGATTAACGGGGAAGTAGAGGTGCAAAAATGGCGGCAAAGGAAGGTTTCTAACACCGTACAGAGAAGCTTCTGTCTGCAAGAATGTGTGCATAATTTAACTAACTCGCTGTGCAAAGCGAAACTTGTCAATGTTTATGCTTCAGCATTTTAACGTCTTCACTCTTGGTAGTTGACCTCGTTCAAGTGTCGAATACCTACTTGTATCATTCACAGAACATAGGGGTAGAAACACCAGGGCAGATCCATGGTCCTACCCCCCTCCCCGCAAGAAAAACTAGCCTGGGAATCGACCCTTTTTTTTGGTCAGTTTCATTTGCTTTTCTCTGTAGCCTTGGCCTTCCGTAAGATCACAAAAGGTTACACAAAAATATTTCCCCATTTATTATTTTCCCAAAAACAGTTGGCCCTGGAAACATTTGGTTCTGATTCCACTGTCGGAACATGTTGTGGAACATAATTGTCATTAACCAAATTCCCAACGTGTGATTTCTCCAAGCTCCTGTGTGCAACTTGAAGGTGAAGTTATTTCCTTCATGTCTTAATTTAACTAAACGATATGGGATAGCAAAGTGCGTGTCAATTCAGTGTAAACAGCAAACGCACACCCTCCCAAGTTGTGGATTCAAATTACCTCGTTTTAGTGACAAGAGATGCTCCAAGCAACTTCTATGCCAATTATGCACCCTACTGCAACTTCACCGAGTGGGAGAACTACTGCACGCAGCGTTGGGTGTTTGTACTCGTTCTGGAAGTGGACTCCTCAGGAGCCACCAATAGAATGCCCATTGATGCTACGGGTGAGGAGTTCATTATTAATTCAACCCTTTCAAGTATTCCACAGTATCAACGTGCATTTCAGGCATACAAATATGATGCTGAATTAAGTATCTGTTAGAAATAAAATCTGCCAAGAGTGTTCTCACTTTACATGCTCTTGTAAAGGTGGCACTTTCAGTTGAAAATGAGGTTGAGGGCCATGCAAAATTGGAGCAAAATGTAAATGTAAAGTAGATTTTGAGGCAGTGTGCTCTCCATTGGAATTGACACCAGCATTGGTTCAGATGCAGTTTTTGAGTGCAAAATTAACATCCGTAGAAATATTATGTTTTTGTTTGCATTGTTTGCTCAGTGTTTTCTTGCAACATATTTCAAACTTTGGTGCTCTGTTAATTGAATTTCGCCGAACTTAAGAAATGAAATAGTTGCTTTGCATCAATATCTGTTCATGCCAATGTAACAGGGAAAAATGGCGCGCTATGAGGAATTAGCAAAACAACAAAAACTCCAACTAAACCAAGGATCTTTGAAGGAAAAGTTGCAGGAAACTAAATTAATAAGGACTCGGACACCAATATTTGACTTAAAAAAAAAGACCAAAAAATAATTTATTAACGAAAAAGTACAGGAAAAATGAAAAAAAACCAAAAGG